TCGGATGTACATGCGAGAAATGGGCACCGTAGAATTATTATCACGAGAAGATGAGATCGATATTGCCAAACGCATTGAATCAGGACTGAAAGAAATGGTGCAAGCAGTTTCAACCTGCCCCACTACGATTCATGAAATTTTGCGCCTTGCCGAGAACATTGTTATTGGCACGACTCGTGTTGATGAAGTTGTCGATGGCATCACAGATCCAGATGTTGAAGACACCTTCCAACTGAGTAATGGCAAACCCTCAATAGGAGAGGAAGATGAGGAGGCTGACAGTAAACAGCTTGAAGAACTCAAAGAAAAATCAATGGTTATTTTTGCACAAATTAACCATCACTTTGATTTAATGCGTAAAGCATTTGAAAAAGAAGGCTACAAATCAAAATCTTACCTCAAATCACAACAAGAAATTCAAAATGAAATCATGAGATTGCGTTTTACCGCCAAAACCGTAGAACGTTTATCGGATATTCTAAGGCAACAAGCTGATGAAATTCGTAAAGTTGAACGAACGATTATGAATATTTTTGTTGATAAATGTGGTATGGATCGTGAAGTGTTTATTGCTGAGTTTCCTCATCATGAAATAGATCTACAATGGTCTAATGTTATGATGAACAAATACCCCAATTTATCGCAGTCTATTGAAAGACAACTTCCTGCAACTCACGAACAACAACAAAAACTGATCGATTTGCAAAAACGTGTTGTTTTACCGTTACAAGATTTAAAAGAGGTTTCAAGACAAATGTCCGCTGGCGAGTTTAAGGCCAGACAAGCCAAGCGTGAAATGATTGAAGCAAACTTACGCCTTGTTATTTCTATCGCTAAAAAATATACTAATCGTGGCTTACAGTTCTTGGATTTAATTCAAGAAGGAAACATAGGCCTTATGAAAGCGGTTGATAAATTTGAATATCGTCGAGGTTTCAAATTTTCAACTTATGCGACATGGTGGATTCGGCAGGCGATTACACGATCCATTGCTGATCAAGCCAGAACGATACGCATTCCTGTTCACATGATTGAAACCATCAATAAAGTCAATCGGATAAGTCGACAAATTTTGCAAGAAACTGGGGTTGAGCCTGATATTGCCACCTTGGCCGAAAAAATGGAGATGCCAGAGGACAAAGTTCGTAAAATCATGAAAATTGCCAAAGAGCCTATTTCTATGGAAACACCTATTGGCGATGATGAAGATTCGCATTTAGGGGATTTTATCGAGGATCAAGCTACGACCTCACCTATTGACTCTGCCATGCAATCATCCATGCAAGAAGTTGTTAAAGAGATTCTAGATGGTCTCACTCCGCGCGAAGCAAAGGTATTACGTATGAGATTTGGCGTGGAAATGAGTACTGACCATACTTTAGAAGAAGTTGGAAAACAATTTGATGTAACGCGAGAACGTATTCGCCAAATTGAAGCAAAAGCACTTCGAAAAATGCGACATCCCTCACGTTCGGAAAAGCTTAAAAGCTTTTTAAGTGGGAATAATAATTAATCGTTACAAATCCATGTCACGAGTTTTCTCGCAATTATTTTGCTTTGATATAGTTGATCAATTGTCATCACTAAGTTACAATAGCAGCCGTTGACAATTTCATAAAAAATGGGCCGTTAGCTCAGTTGGTCAGAGCAGGGGACTCATAATCCCTTGGTCGGGGGTTCAAGTCCCTCACGGCCTACCAACTAAAAAGTCGCGCATCGCGCGACTTTTTCTTTTTTTCTCATGACACTTAATTTATCGACATCCGCCGTACATTTTTCCGTGCCCTCACGCTTAGCATAAGATGTCAAAAATAAAATTTTATGTCATCAACAACACTACTTAGCTGAAGCAAATGGGTCCGAACTAGCATTGGGTACTTCTATTTTTTCCACCTTGACTGCTGCTGGTTTTTTAGAAGCATTATTTTTACTTGTATTCCCATCCTGTTGAGTTTTCTTTTTTGTGCCCGCATCTTTGCCCTTTTGTTCTGGTGATTGGTCACTAATTGTTCCTATTTTATCTAACACATCTACATTCGTGGGAGTGGAAGCAGGAGCTTGTGTAATAGAGCCAGATGCAGAACCCGATGTTGCTTTAGTAGTAGTACTAATTTTAGCCGTCTCAATGACTTCAACCACTGGGGTTGAGGGAGAAGCTGACGATGCAACATTCTCTGATGTGGAAGACGAAGAAGGAACATTATTAGTTACTGCCGCCGGGGTGGAAGCCAAAGTACCAGCATCATTCGTCACTACCGCTGGTGATGATGACTCTGTCACAGTACTAGTACTACTAGTACTAGCACTCGCAGCGGGAGCGTCGCCTTCGGGTGTGGTTGCTGTTGTAACAATAGAGCCACTCGCCTGATTAGGATCCGTAGTGGTGGTTTGATAAGGATCTCTATGGCAACTCCAATCCTCATTTGTCTCGCCAGTATAATGATCACCACCAAAAAAGAAATTATGAATATTAGGGAATGTACGCTCAAACCATGAAGGTTCTGTTTTAGGTTTCGGTTTTGCGACAGTTTTATCTTCTTTATGTCGACCGTTACCAAAAAGGCGCTCTTTCATGTGAAAAATTGGTGGGAACAACCACTCTAATAAAGATTTATTCTCCATCTTAATGTCAGCTTCAAGTGTCATCCCAGGCTTAAAGTTGATTAATTTTCCTTCACGCGAAAAAATTTTGCCCTGATTAAAACGTTTGATATCATCAACATCAGCATAAACTTTATAATACATCGCTGTTTCTGCATTCTGTGCCTGCATACCTAGCTCGGGAGCGGTATAAGCACTAGGTGGAATATAGACTAAATGCCCAGTAAATGTGCCAAATTTTTCGACTGGGTACGCTGCAAAAACCATTTTAGCGCTTTGATTACATTTGATAAAAGCACCTTTTGATGTCGGAACATACAACTCTGCCCACAAGCTTTTTGAAGGCATAATTTCAATAACATCAACTTTATTTGTAATCGTACTGCCTTGATTAATATCAAGTTTACTTATCATACCGTCTGCTGGCGCATCTATTGAAATTTCAGTGTTTTGTTTCGTTTCGAGTTCACGAGCGGACAGCTGTTCTTTTTGGATATTAAGCTGAGCCATTCCTTGATCCAACTTACCTTTTGCATCTTCTTTGGTGGCACGCAACTGTGTAATCGCCTTATCGTTTTCAGCTAACTGCAGCTGTAAATCTTTTTGTTGTGAAACAAGTTGTTCATATTGCAATTGTGCCTGATTATATTGCTCTTTTGATACAATTCGCTCATCAAACAACGTTTTAATTTCGTCACGACGATCTTTGACCTGCTCAGTTAATGACTTCAAATGGCTTAACTTTGATTCAAGAATCGTATGCGCTCCTTCATGTTCACGGATCACTTTATCAGTATTTTCTATTGCACTTCGATATTGCTCTAAACCAGCCTGACGTTGCTGTTCGATTTCGTTGCGCTGTCTATCAACATTGTCTTTGATATTAGCAGCCAGCCCTCCGCCATTATCTGCAGTAGTATCACGAGTTAATGTAAATAAGCGATCACCTTTTTGCACCTCTTGATCTAACGTAACGTTAAGTTCTTTGACAATCCAACCTGACGGTGCAGCCACCTTCACAACTCTTGTTGTTGGCGTTAAAAAACCTTGGACTTTTTCGACATGCGTATAATCTAATTTAATCAACATAAAAAAGCCGACTAATACCGACAGTAACAATAATGCGATCAGTGCGGTTAGAGGCAAAGGAATTGCAACAACCCCTTGAATAATATAGCTTAGATTGGTTCCACGGCGAATATGAGTCACCCCTTTTTGAGGGCGCTCCATTTGGCTCATGACACGAATTTTTTCTCGGAAACTTGGCATAATTTCATTAATAATTAAGGTGTTATATTATTTTCTAACAAAGTTAAACGCACTCATCGTGTCTTTACAAACTTGCGCAACAAAAAGATTTTTCATCACTCGTCATCTTCAGCAATACCACCTTTGGGTTTCATCAAAGGATGTGGTTCATAATAAGGCAACATATGTTCCCAAAAGTGCCAGTAATAAGGTTTTTCTATTAACGTACGTTCTAAAACATTGACAATTTTTTGTTCAGCTATCCTTAACCGCTCATATGTCACAGGCTCATCAGACATCGAATCAATGCCAGGATCTACAAAATTCATTTCAACTTGTTCAAGGTATGGAATGCCTGTCACAAATCCATTGAGTACTTTCATACGGTGTTCATGCGCTAACTTAACTCCGCCAGATGCAAAACGCATATTTTTTCCGAACATTTCGCAATTCGTTGCGTCACCAAAACCGCCACTTAAATCGGTCATCAAAATAAAAACAGGCTTGTCGTTACGCAAAATTTTAAGGAACTTTTTCAAACCTAAACGGTTTTTAATATCGATCACTTCAATTTTCTTTTCGCCTTCGCGACCAATTCTCAAATTATCTTCCCAAAACGATCCTGGTGCGTTACTATGCATCATCATCACAAATTTACGATCTGCTGGAATGGCTTCACGTGCCGAAGCTACCAAGATTGATAGGTTAGACATATGGAAACCACCAAGCAAAATAGGCCGATCAGGGTGATCTCGGCATGCCTTTTCGATGATTTCACGCCCATTAAACTTCACTTGAGATCGAATGTATCCATACATCTGCTCCGGTGTTTTGTTCCGATTCACTAAATAACTGGTCACTTCTAACATCACGGCTGACCATGTCATTCGTTTGGCCAATTTTTCAGCTGTAACATCATCTAACTTAAAAGCTGCTGTTGTAAATTGTTTAATCGCTTGATATGTTGCAGGCAAATTAGAGATCGTAAATCTCGCCATTTGTCCCACATATTTCACCACAAAAGGAATTGAGCGTTTTTTGGCTAAATATATCGCAAATTTCTTGATAAAAAAGGCAATGACAAAAGGGTTAAAAATAAAGGTCCTAACCTGAAACCGCAAGCGTCGCCCAAACATAATGCTTCCTTCCGCTTATTGTTGTTTTTCCATGCCGACCCTTGCCAAAGCAGCAATTTCTTCTAGGTAATCCTGCCCCACCTTTTCCAAACGACCGTCTTCCATTTTATAGATGCTGTCAACCATGGATAAAACATAATCGGCATGCGTAACAATAATACAAGTACACGGTAACTTCATCACTGCTTTACAAATTTCTAGTGCGGTTTTACGATCAAGGTTTGAAGTAAATTCGTCTAAAATCAATATTTTAGGTTGTATGTAGAGCGCCCGCGCGATCAATAAGCGTTGCATTTGACCTGCAGATAAAAACTTTTGTGTATCACCAATATTAGTTTGGTAGGCCTGATCAAGCTGTTGAATTTCGTCATGTATCTCTACCATTTTTGCAACTTCTATCATCAGGGATTTTTTTGCAGTGGGTGAGAAATTGGTAATATTAGCCATAATAGTACCGCGAAACAATTGATCTGATTGTGTCACTGCGGCAAGATTTTTACGATATTGTCGTACATTAACCCTAGCAAGATCGGCATTATCGGCAAACACATGGCCATCTGGTGCTTTATAAAGACCTGAAATAAGGTTTAAAAGCGTTGTTTTACCTGAACCTGTTCGACCCACAATCGCCATTTTTTCACCAGCCCTAATATGGAGATTAATGTCTTTTAAAATTTCACGATCAGCACCGCGCGGTATGTATGTCAGATTTTTAACACTCACTGCGCCCGTAAGATTATTCACATCATCAATAGGTTTACTAAAGTCAGGGTCTTCTGTATCAGTTTCTACGATGTCAGCCACACGATCTAAATGCACCTGTAAAACCTTGCGCTCGATCCAAAGATGAACAATCTTGACAAAACTTGCACCAAACATATTTTTGTACTGCAAGAAAGCATAAATGATACCAACCGTCGTTTTGCCATTGAGAACCAAATAAGCACCATAACCAGTAATAATTAGTTGTTCAAGACTCATAATGGCTTTACTTATCGAGTCAAAACCCAACATAAACAAATCATTTGCCCTAACAGCTTGTAATTGTTGGGTAAACGCATTAGCCCACATATTGCTACGTGCTGCCTCATTGGACAATAGTTTGATGGAATGCGCAGAACGAATATTTTCAATCAGCACAGCTTCTGCTTCAGCACCTCGATTTAACGTCTGAGCTACTGCGTCACGTAAACGAGGTTGTACGGCAACACGTGTAGCTGCAAACAAAATTAAAAGTCCTATATTGATCAACCCCATTTCCCAGTTATAAAACATCATCAAGGCACCAGTAATCACCATGGTCACAACGGCCATGTAAGTTCCTAGGACGCCATTGATCAAAAAGCTACTAATTTCACCGATTGATCGAACACGTGACAAGGTGTCCCCTGTGTTACGGAATAAAAAGTAGGTAATGGGTAGCCTAAATAAATGGCTTACGACGCCACTGGAAAGCTGTTGCAGCATGGTATTACGAAGATAACTACTGACATTGCCGATAACCCAGCTATATAGAACATCAAAGAAAAATATGACGCCAAAAATAATCGTCAGTAGAATAACGACATCGATGTTGTTTTTACCGATTGCATCGTCAATCATCCGCTGAACGTAAGAAGGTCCGATCAAGCCAATGAGCTGAGACACAAAACCAGCCAAAACACCCAAAACCAAAGTATCTTTTAAGCCATTGAGTGTATTAACATAATCCCATAATCCGACACTTTTTTCTTTCTTTTCTTTCTTAAAACGGACATCAGGATTTAACTCAAGAGCATAACCTGAAAGCTGGCTCACAACCTGCCCCATATGCAAGCGACGTTGCCCAATAGCGGGGTCAGCTAAAAATACGGTATTACCTTTGATTTTTTCGAGAACCACAAAGTGGTTATGTCCCCAATGTAAAATACAAGGGGTTTTTAATTCACCGATTTCGTGTGCTTCAAACTGAAGTGCTCTTGCTGTCATGCCAAGGTCATTGGCAATTTCAGACAAGTCAAAGAAACTTAGCCCTGAGTCAATTTTTACGGGATAACGGTTGCGCAAAAAGCGCAAAGATAGTTCTTTACCGTAATAATCTGCAATCATTGCTAAACAGGCTAGACCACACTCCGTGACCTCGTCTTGCAATACGATTTTGATTTTTCTTCTTAAAAATATTGTGTCTAGCAAACTCATAAGTACTTATTATTTAGGCTTATTTATTAATTATATCCGATGCAAAAATCATCATACCTTCAACCTTCCGCTCCTCCTACATGTCTTGGCACCTGATTCCAAAGACATCATCTAAATATCATGATCGACTTTCAAATGCTTGTATTTCCAAATTTTGAAAAATTAGACAACAACCCATATAGTAACAAAAAAAGAGCCGTTTGGCTCTTCTTTTGGGTATTTTTACCATTAATTTTGCGGGAAAATACTTCCTTCACCTGGGAATTGCTGATCAAAACCTTTTCCAGAAATCGCTTTAGCTTGACGTTTTGTCGGTTGACTAAAAATTTGTTTTGCTTGTTTATTCGACATACCAAAATCCAAACGACGTACAAACGGCGCTCCAACCACCAAACCATCTCCAACCTCACCAATACTGACACCGCCACGAAGTGATGTCAACATTTCTTTTCCAGTAATTTCACGCATATGACCCCCATTCATTCATGGAATCCAAAGACTCAAATTAAACAACACAATTTTAAAAACACTTCTGACAGTATGTTTAAAACTGGGCTGTCATTCAACCATGACACTGCATGGCTGAAATGACTAATGACACAGTATTACTTCTTGCCTTTAGAGCTGCCGCCACCACCACTTGGTTTTTTGCCACCAGGTGCTTTACCTTCTTTGCCACCACCCAAAGTAGTCAACAACTTTCCGCCCATATCCATTAGGTCTGCTACTGTAGCAAGCATACCACCACCAGAAACTGTTTTAGATTCAACTTTAGTTAAATTTTTCATTTAAGACTCCTTAAAAACTTTAATATACAATAATTTAATTAAACAAGATCATCCCGCCAGGACCCGCTCCACCCGATGGTGAAGGCGACGGTGACGGCGAAGGTGACGGTGTCGCACCACCACTGCTTGGTTTTTTGTTACCAGGTTTTGAGCCGCCGCTCGGTTTTTTGGTTGAGGCACCAGTGCCCTTACCCATTGCTACCTCAAGCTGACGTAAAGCCGCCGCTTCTTGAGTTAGAAAAGTACCCAGTTTTCCAATACTCAGAGCACCACCTTTAACAGCCCGGCACTCCCCATTTGTCAAATGCTTCATCGCAACATCTCCTATTTAGTGGAAACTATTTACCTGATTTTTTGTCGCCAGAACCACCAGATGGTTTTTTACCACCGCTAGCACCTGGGGCTTTTGGTTGATCCTTGCCCATAGCAACTTCCAATGTACGGAGCGCCGCAGCTTGCATCGTCATAAACTTACCTAACCCTGCAAGGCTCAAGGCACCGCCTCGAACTTGCTGCGAGTTTACTTTTGTCAATTCTTTCATAAATCTCTCCTAAAAAAATAATCAACCCGTTTCCAACTTAGCCGTTTAACAAAAGCTGTTATAACGATTTATAGCACAATTTACAAACCATATGTGTGTGATTTGCAATTGTTAACAATTGACCTCGTTATAACGAAGCCAAAATCCAAACTAGCGAGTGGCTGCTTTACGCGCATTTTTTTCGCCATCGCTCTCTTTCCCAACGGCTGCCTTTGCATCTACCTTGCTGGCATCCTTCACATCTTTGTTGGGGCTCAATGTATTCAAGACTGTCTGCAAATTTGCCAAAATTGGCGCAATCGCTACTAACATCATCTCGGCACCACCGCCTCGGATCTGTTTTTCTTGAACTTGTTTTAGTATTTTCATAAGTTTTCCTAAGCACTATGTGATATTATTTTTTACTGCCTTGTTGGCCTTGGCCACCCTTTTTACCGCCTTGCTTATTGCTTGGTGGTTTTGAGGCTTTAGCATCTTGCAGACCTACGCCCAATGTAACTAGCACAGTTGCGACGCCAACCAGCGTTCCAGTCATATCCCCCCCTCGCACACACCTTGCTTGTTTTTGCAAAAGCTGCTTCATCTAGGTTCTCCTATTTATGTTTACGGCTGCGTGCTTACCGTCTATTCACACAGTGTATAAAAACTGACTTTAATTTGATATTAGGGTATACACCTAAAACCGTTAAAGAATGTTAACAATCTCAATCACTGCCCAACTGCAGATCGAATAAGATTGTCTGTATTGGCCAGTGTGTCCACGGAAAGCAAATTGTCTAAGTACATCAAACGTAACCGATTCGATAAAATTTCAAAATAAGTTCGAATCACTTCTTGGCGTACATCAGATGTTGTTTTTTCGATGCGCAATACATCAGAAGTTGTTGAAAAACCTGATGTTTGTGCTTTGCGAGCAGCATAATAGGCCTTGCGACTTGCATCATAAGCTGCTTTTAGTCCTACCAAATTTTGTGCGGAAGCCGTCATTCCATTGATAGCCGTATAACGCTCTAAACGCCAATCTTGCGCAGCTTTACGCACATCTTCTTCATATTTGGTAATTTGTTCAATGGCTTCATCTTCTGCGTAATAAGTTCCAGCATTCAGCGAACCCCGCACACCGAAACCATAAGTGGTATTACGGCTTGCTCGATCACCCAAATCAAGTGGCGTATTAGCATAATATGTCCTACTATGACGCACAGCAATTCCCGCTTTGGGCAACCATTCCGCAAAAGCTTTTTTACGGTTTTGTTTAGCCGCCTCAACCCGCAGCATCGCAATTTGATAGGTCAGACTTGCTCCCATATTATTATCATTATATAAATTGGGGATTAACAAAACTTCCATCGGTAAATTCAAATCCAATCGTTGAGATTCTTCCATGGGCAACTTAAGCCCTGTAATTTCTTCATATTTACGGTAAAACTCTTCCATTCTTTTTCGCGCAGCAAACTCTTGCGTTTGCACACGTTGATACTCAGCATCTTGTTGTAAATAATCAAAAATTGTTTTATATCCGACCTCCATACCACGCTTGGCATCATACGCTTGTTTTTGTAGGGCAAAGGTCTCTTGTTTGTAGGTATTCCAAACCTCTCTGGCTTGCAAATAACTAAAACACATTTCCGCAACTTTCAACATTAATTGATATTTTGCTAGATCGCGAGTTTTTTCTGCGCCTTCTACTAATAACTTGGTATTGTTGACATCATACCAAGCAGGTAAGTTAAAGACGGGTACGGTTAATGTTGCTGAAAACGTTGAGGTTTTACTAACGCCACCTGGGCTACCAAACAACTGACTAAACAGTTGTTGCAAAAGCGAGCTAGTTGGAGATTGGTCACCACCCTGACCAAACTGCGTGCGCCAGTCAGATTTGGTTGAAGAACGTTGCCATGCATATTCGTAATCGAGTGAAGGCAACAAACCAGCTGTCGCCTGCCCAATTTTTGTTTTGGCAATTCGAATATCGACTTCGGCACTTCTGAGTGTCGGATCTTTAGCAAGTGCCGCCTGATAACCATTGGCCAAACAAATTGCTTGAGCTTGACCACTTGAAAATAGACAAAAAACGATCAAGCCCGTCGCGAAAAACAGCGCAGACCAATGTCGATGATTGTTTTGCGTAAATCGTTTTATTATCGTTATCAATGCAGAATTCCTAATACATTCAATTACTTATTTTTAGACACTCAAACTGCTTCACGCCCCAACTCGGTTAAAGCGCGACGTACATTGTACTCGTCTTTTTACTATTTTTTCTATGGTTTGTACACACCCTATATTTCCTAGGTTGTTATCATGCCACAAAATAAGTCATTCGTGAACAAAACAAAAGTTAATTTTCGTCAATTATCCGTAAAGGTAGGTGTTTTCCCTTATGCAGGAGGGCCAGCTGCCAGAAACAGCTGATAGGCTGGATTATGCGTTTCTTCCCAAAAACGATAACCTAGCTGCGAAAGAAACTCCCTAAAATCAGTGCGTTCTGATTCTGGAACTTGCAGCCCTACCACAATTCGACCTGCGTCTCCGCCTTGATGCCGATAATGAAAAAGGGATACATTCCAATTCGGGTGCATTTTCTCTAAAAAACGCATCAAAGCACCAGGTCGTTCTGGGAACTCAAAACGATACAAAACTTCGTTTTGATGATTGGCCAGAGACGAAGGGAAATGTCCTCCAACCAAGTGACGTAAATGTGTTTTTGCTAATTCATCATGACTTAAGTTTAAGGTTGGGAAACCATTTTCATCCAACAAATCTTTCAAAACATCAATACGTTGGCGATTACTAACGGCAATACCCACAAAAATATGCGCATTTTGTGGGTCGCTCATCCGATAATTAAATTCTGTAATATTATTATCGCCGATTAGACGGCAAAAACGTCGGAATGACCCTCGTTCTTCTGGTAAGGTCACCGCAAATAAAGCCTCTTTAGCTTGCCCCATGTCGGCACGCTCTGCTACTAGACGTAGCCGATCAAAATTCATGTTGGCACCACTTGTCACGGCAACATAATTCTTACCATCCTTAACGGTTTGATTTTCTGCATATTTTTTTAATCCAGCCAAAGCCAATGCTCCAGCTGGCTCAACCACACTTCGCGTATCTTCAAATACATCCTTAATCGCTCCACAAACTTCATCGGTATCAACAACTAGCACATCATCTAGGTAATCTTGACACAATTTAAAGGTAGTTTCCCCAACCAATTTAACGGCCGTGCCATCAGAAAAAAGCCCCACATCAGGCAGAGTCACTCTTTCACCTTTTTTAAGGGATTGCGCCATTGCATCTGAATCAGCTGTTTGTACACCAATCACCTTAATATCTGGACGTAGTGTTTTAACGACAGTTGCAACCCCAGCAGCCAAACCACCGCCGCCAATGGCAACAAAAATGGCTGAAATCGTATCAGAATGTTGTTGTAAAATCTCCAGCGCAATCGTTCCTTGACCTGCAATCACATCTGGGTCATCAAAAGGATGAATAAATGTCACCCCTTGCTCTTGAGATACTTTCTCGGCAAATCCATACGCATCAGAATAGGACTCCCCATGCAATTGAATATCAACATGATCGCCTCCAAATGCTCGGACTGCATTGATCTTGACCTGCGGCGTAGTGACTGGCATCACAATAATGGCATGACAAGCTAATTTTTTGGCAGACAAAGCAACGCCTTGCGCATGATTTCCTGCTGAAGCCGTGATGACACCTCGTGTTAGTTCTGCTGGCGTTAACTGTGCCATTTTGTTATAAGCACCTCTTAACTTAAAAGAAAAGACAGGTTGTTGATCTTCGCGTTTAAGCCAAACACCAACACCTAAGCGTTCTGATAAACGTTGTGCCTTTTCAAGAGGAGTGATCACCGCCACGTCATACACATGGCTATTTAGGCTTTTAATCAAGTAGTTGTATTGCATCATATCAAAATTCGATCCGATCATCACACGTTAACCTAGATCAAACCTAGGTCAGTAAAGAGGTATCCAAAACGTAAAAATCAAATCATTGAATAAATTGTCATTTTACTCTCTGAAAAGCGTATTTGTCGGTATAATGAACATAGTTTTAAGATTTAAGTTACGTCAAATTCATGCTTATCAACCCAATACTTCTGTTATTGTATTGCTTTTAAGGAGGAAGGATTGCTTTTGCAAACGCTGACGACATTTTTACTCGACTTTTTCTCGCTGGACCATCTAGGTCTGGCAGCTATTTTTCTGATTGCAACACTGTCAGCGACAATCTTGCCCATGGGATCAGAGCCTGTGGTCTTTCTTTACATCAAACAATCGCCTGAAAATTTTTGGCAAGCCATTTTGTGGGCGACAGCAGGTAATACCTTAGGCGGAATGATCACTTACTCGATGGGGTTAGCCACACAAAAAACCATCACACATCTCCAAGGTCACCCACCACACAATCCCATATTACTCAAATGGATTCAAAAAGTTGGCCCTAAAGGACTGTTTTTTTCATTTTTACCGGTGATCGGTGATCCTTTATGCGGTATAGCTGGTTGGCTAAGCTTTCCTTGGTGGCAAAGTTTGATATATATGTGTATTGGCAAGTTACTACGCTATTTAACACTGACAACTGCCTTATTATGGGTTCCTAACACTTTTTGGCAGCAATTACTCGA